CGTCTGCTGTCCAAAAACTTAAAAATTAGAATATACAAAACTATAATTTTGCCTGTGGTTCTGTATGGGTGTGAAACTTGGTCTCTGACATCAAGGAAGGAACATAGACTGAGGGTGTTTGAGAACAGGATTATGAGATTGTTTGGACCGAAGAGGGATGAAGTGACAGGAGGTTGGAGAAAACTGCATAATGACGAGCTTCATAACTTGTACTCTTTTCCAAGTATAATTAGAATGATTAATTCAAGGAGGATGAGGTGGGCAGGGCATGTAGCACGAATGAGGGAGAATAGGAACGCATATAGGATATTGGTGGGAAAGCCAGAAGGAAGGAGACCACTGGGAAGACCAAGGTGTAGTTGGGTGGACAATATTAATATGGATCTTAGAGAGATAGGATGGGATGATATGGATTGAATTGATCTGGCTGAGGATAGGGACCAGTGGGGGGGACTCTTGAACACGGTAATGAAGCTTCGGGTTCCATAAAATGCTGGTAAATTCTTGAGTAGCTGCAGATTTGGCTTCTCCCCAAGAAGGGCTCAGCTCCCTAAGCAAGTAAGAATGTGTGAGGGACATCTTACACAGGAGCACATGAAAGCAAAGCGATAAATGATTATTTGGACTTAACGTGAGATTAAGCAAGATGGAAAGGGTTAAAATTTCATAACGAGCGGCTTTATAAGCGGTGTCCTGGACGGTAATGTAAGCGCAACTAAATCTCGGGCGCTGAGATAACTGTGACAGGAAGCAAGTACGAGGGGAACAATAAGTGTATAAAATCTTACCTTATCTCACCATCCACTTACAAGTATGTACAAAAATCATGTACCTACTTTAACATGAAAAGTTTCTGGAAAGGGACTCCGTGTGACCGGGTAGAACTTTACGAACATTTCACTAAATATGCTGAGCTACGCAGATATGTTTACATATGCCACAGTGTAGCAGTACTGCTGCTTCGTATTCTGGAGGTATCCGGTTAGAATCCCGCTGAGGGTTCCGACTGTAATACCTCGGTATTTTCATGATTTTCCCCAGTTAATTCGGGCGAATGCTGGGGTACTACGTTGAAATACATCAGAGAAAAAAGCAATTGAAAAAATGGTGTAAGGGTAACGCTTTATACTTGTATTCGTGATGTGCTTGGTTCGATTCTCGTCCTGGTTCCAACTGCCTGACAGGTTTGTAAGTGCTATCCCTGTCTCTACAACAGACTGTTGGTGTTCTAACCTGAAGCAGGACACTGCAATTTAAGTAGCGTCTCTCAATAGCTTAAAAACCAATTAGGCCCAATAACTACAAGTAAAGTTGTCCCTCTGCTTAATTAATTGAGCACTGAGCCACAAAGACGTAAGGGGGAGTGGAGGTGTAGCTCCACAATTCTTGACCTCGGCACTAGATGGAGGTGAGTGGTCAGCTTCACACCCCAGTCGCTGTAGCTCCGGGGAAAGAGCCCGCGGTACACATTGGATAGGAGGCTGGGTGGGCCCCAAAGCCGGCCTAAAAGTGCGGAGAAGAGAAAAGTCTCTTGTCCTTGCCCAGAATCGAACCCCGGCCGTCGAGTGGGTAGCCCGTAGGCTCTGTAACTACATCGGCAATAACTGTATTTACATCCTATGCTGGTAATCTCTGCGAAAAGCATATTTAGTATTCCTTACATTTTAATCAATGTATTCATCTAATTTGATCGCCTCTGTGGTCTAGTGATCAGAGTTCCTGGCTACAAATCCACAGGACCGGGTTCGATTCCCGGCGCTACCAGACTTTCTGAGAAGTAGTGGGTCTAGAACGGGGTCCACTCAGCCTCGTGAAGGTAACTGAGGAGCTACGTATTTGAGGGAAATAGCGACTCCGGTCTAGAAAACCGAGATTAACGGCCGGGGGATTCGTTGCGCTGACCACGTGACACCCTATATCCGCTAAAGTTGAAACTAACTTCGCCGACCAGCGGCGGTCGATCGGTCGGTATAGTTCGCTTGCGGACTGAAACCACGGAGTTTGTTTTATTCATCTAATTATTCAGATCCTTTAAATTACCCACAAACCAAACCTAGGGGTGTTGAATTTGAGGTTCTAAGAATGGTGACTAACAATACTGCCACTATGGATGAGAAGCCATGGAATGCGATATAAATTCGCTGACGTTTAGGAGGAACGTACTGTCCGCATCTAAAGGGTCGAAGAATATGCCAAGAAATACCTCGACTTTGAAGTTGACAGTACGTTCTTCCAAAACATCGGTAAACGTCTACTACATTTTATGGTGTCACGTCGCAAAAGATAATGCTTTTAAACCATTAGAAATTAACGAAACTGCACCTAACCTGTCAACAAAGTGTTGACATTAATGTGAACTTATTATGATAAACCGAAGTTTCGCTTACAGCGTTAGAATAGATGTGAGGACACGGAGAGTAACTTTGACTGGTAGCCCAGTTCTAAAATAGCCCAGACTATGTATTGGGCGAATAATACGTCACCATTGATGACGTGCTAGCAACAGCGAGCTTGTTCCTTTCACTTTGAACATGTAATATTAGTTCCGATACGATATTTTATGTTAGCTTTGCTTGAGTAAACAGTTCGAAGATATTAAAGTGTGTTGAAAGAAACACAGTTAGAGTGTGCGTACGACAGCCTTCCATTCACGTTCGAGCTCTGAGCGACAGATTAAATGCTTTGCAAAATTTGCCGTGGTACTCACTCGCACAGCTTCTCAGCATCCAGCCCACTTAACTTAGGTTACGGTCCACCACGTCCAACACCGTTCTGTTGCCACAAAAGAAAGGCAAATTATGAAAAATACTACTGTCGTCCGGGATATGGCGCCGTGTAACGTGGTAGAAGTTTAGAAAACGTTCCTGTCAGACCATATCACATCCCAGAAGAAATTATTTCAGAGTCACTGCCTTGCGAATTTCATATGCCCCAAACTAAATCTCGTTACCAACCTATGCGAAGTGTAAAATCTATGAAGGGACAAAAGAATAATGCAACATTCTTTTAAAGTATACATAAATATTTATACATGTGACCTTATGGGTGATCATCTAAAAAAAAAGTGTCACTAATGAAGCTGGCTCAAGCGGCAACTCTACTGGCTTGCATTCGCAAAGTGCCAAGTTCGAATCTCGGCCGGGATACCGATTATCTTAACTGAAGTTTTTCATGTTTTTCCTCAGTACCTCTAGGCAAATACTAACATAGTACTTTAATTTAAGCCATGACCGTTTCCTTCCACGTTCTTTCCATTCAGTATTCACACAAATCTATCATTCGAGGCTACATAGTCCGTTACCGAGAGCGCCGTTAAACAAATAACGAGGAAATAAACAGAAGAAACGCGTTCTTAGCGAATATGGAAGTGTATGGCCTACCTGTACGTGGAAAGAGACCTGAATCTTATTAAGATTTACAACTCCCATTCACAGCGGTCACGCGGCCTGAGGCATATGTGGGACTTTGGGCCGATTGAACACTGGGACCTCAGGTTAGAATTTTGCACAGATTGTCGTTCTTGCTGTTTTGATATCTTTTGTATGCAGTCTTGTGCTGGTCCTAAGGGCAAGGGCACGCCAAGGAGACTGGCAACCGCAATTTCCGAGAACTGTTATCAGCCTGAGTTGAACACATGTTACTGAATGGAGCAGTGCAAATTGAGGAAACGGCAACGCAGTAACATATGTTCAACTCAGGCTGACAACATTTCTCGGAAATTGCGGTTGCGTTGCTGTTGCCAGTTTCCTTGGTGTGCCCTCGCCCCAAGAGCCCTATTAACAGTCTGAAACGTTCATTGTTTAAAAATAATTCAAAATCGCAACAGGTCAGAGGACCAGGAGGATAGAGGAAATTACAAATTGGCACACTTCATAACTTGTACTATTTCACAAATGTTATAAGGGCGATCAAGGAGATTGGCGGAACACGCAGCATGGAATAGATAAGCAATTCATACAACATTTTATTCTGAAAACCTTATTGGGAGGAATCACTTGGGAGATCGATGCGCAGATTGGAGATAATATTAAAATGGATCTCTGGAATCTGAAGCTTGAATACGTGAAGTGAATTCGTCGCGTTCATGATAGAGACCAACAGTGGGCTCTTGTGAACACAGTAACAAGCCTTTGGGTTTCATAAGAACGGTGAATTTGTTGACTGAGTGATTAATTAGTATATCAAGGCAGTGTGCGAACTTACGCATGCCCTAGAGGCTCACCTGAGCAAACGCGAGAAAAGTGGGGGGGGGGTCTGTGTTTGCGCCTGCGCTAGAAGAGTCACGGTCACCTTACGTACGTACTGTATTCCTTTATGTTAGCGCTTAAAGGTTAATACTATATCTAAACATTACTTGATCTCTAAGCAACAAAATTACAGTTCATATCAATGGAAAACGTCCAAATAATAGAAACTGGCGGTCGACTATGTGGGACCTCAAGTCTCGAAAATAATAATTAATCCAGTCACACAAAATTCAGTCAGACAAAAATTCTGATTTTAAGACATACTTCTCAGTAATGTTGCACTACAGCCATTTCTGGTAACATAACTACCGGTATATTGTTCCAGGCTTATACAATTGCAGTAATGAAATATATAAAATTGCTAGAATGTGAAAGTTCTTAAGAGCTTTATGATTAACATAGCAAGCACTGGGTCAGTTCTTCATGGAACCAAGTGACTTTTATGACACCCCAATAACATTTCATTCGAAGTGTAGGATTAATAAAGGGTTAATCAAAAAGGGAAGCACAATAGATCATTGAAGGTCGCAGTGCGAGGATCGGATTTTATGGTCCACCCCTTACACACATACACATACACAACATAGCAAGCTACTAAACTGTACATAATTCTAAAAATACACTTCTCGCAAAAAGAAAAGTTTTATTTTTACTATGGTGGGACTATATTTTTTGACAAAATGGCCGATGGGCCGCAAGATACAAAACTGTCAATATCTATCACACTGTGCGTGCGTGCGATCACCGTCTTACCGGTTAGGAGAAAAGGGCTCTTGTCATTCTTCTTTCCGTATCATAACATTAGGTTGGCAACTAACCTGAAACAGAAAATAGCAAAGACCTCATATAAGCATTATATTTTACCTAACATTAATTCTTGTGGTGGCGTTCTATCAACACTACATTTTTCTCATTTAGTTGGAAGCACTTCCTCCACGATATATGAAATGATTAACACCACCATGACTAGGCAAGGCGAGTCTCGTTGGTGGGAACGGGTAGCGTCACATAGCATTAATGCAAAAGAGGTTTAGAGCTGTTCGTCGTCACACCTCTGTAAGTCAAGCCATGATTATTCAAACTGTTGGTCCTAAGAGAAGTCACCGAGCTCTCAAGAACTGTTTAAAATATAGTTGTATTCATCTAAAGTTTTGGCGAGTCAGCAATATGTAAGAAAACGTAGCTGCAGGCGGAGGGAACAGGGAATATTTCGCGAATTCCTTCGAATATACACTCGTCGATTTAAATCGACGAGTGTACATTAACAGAGATTTTAAACATAACTGACAAAATCAACAAGGGGATTCTGGTATAGCGGGACCGACTGAACCGCATCAATGACAACTGAGAAAGCTGGTGTTTTTAAATTTTAAATTACAATACATATAGAAATGTAGAGTGCAACAGGATGCTTAAATATAATATTGACTACTGAAACTAGCCTCCGAACGTGCGCATGCGTGTCTGCTAACTAAACTGTCATCAAGCTGGACTGTGCTGCTGCCTAGTGATACACATAGAAAAACTATTACGTCCATTTTAACTGCTTTATTCCCATTCGTAACCTATTTACTGACTCTCCCTCGTGTCACCGTATAGCCTGATACGACCTGTAATAATATATGCAGAACTCCACTTCTGTGACTGTTTAAGAACATTTATTGCTTATGAAACGTGTAGAGAGAATGTAAAGCTATTTATGTTCCTGCTGTCAACTGAAGCAATGCGCCGGACAGCGCTTTTTTCTGACGGGTAGATTGGGGGATCACGCCACAAATTCACCCACTATTTTAAGCGGGTAGCAGTATCGCAAAGTTTGAAAACCCATGTGTTAAGTCATAAAATTACATATAATTGTCGTAGCCCTGACGAAGACCATTTGCATGCATAACACATATAACATGTATGTTTCTGTGTTATTTGACGTATGCATGTCAGCAACATGCATACGGCAATCACCACAGGAATACATAATGCGCTTTCAAACATTTTGCATGGAAAGGGAGAAAAAATGACACATGAATAAAAACAAATAAAATTTCAAATACATTTTTGGGTTTTTAATTATGCAGACGTATGTTCGAACAGAACCCTGATTACTGTCCGTCATCTCAGTACCATTTTACTGATCTTTTATATTTAAACTGTATTTCTCTTTTGCGTCTAATTATTCGAACTTGAATTTTTTATGATAATTTTAAGAGAAGTAAATCCCTAAAATATAAATAAATCGAAACAGTATTTAGTGTTATTTGGACTTATTCTTACAGTACTATACATAAGTGGCACATATATTCAAACCAGTTCAAACTTTCGTTTACTACAGAGTCAAGCTCTTCTATGAAGATGGGCGGAGACAGACAGGCGGACATCAGAAGATAATGGGCCCTTACACAAAATTACTAAACGCGTTCAAAGATATGGAACTGGGATAGCCTTTTGCTGATTTTCAAGGCTACGTGGGAAATCGCCGAAGAATATCAGGGGACACATGAATCCATCTGAGAGGCCGATTTTCCTGTAGGAAGACAACATTCCTCATCCTCCCAAATGAAGCCATGTGCCAGTAAGGGGTATGTGTGCTCCATGCATAAATTTTGTAATTGTAAACTGCGAAAGAAAATTATTTCTTACGTAAACAAATGTATACTTGTGATTGATGTTAGAGATTTCAATGCAAGAGTTGATAATGATTCTCTATCAGAATGTCTAAAAAATAGGGGCAGCAATTTGAGTGGAAGGGTTTCCGCGCATTTAGCAAATTTAAAATGATTGCTTACGTATTAGAAACACATACATTATATGTATATTCACACAAATTCAAATTCTCCATGCAACTTTTTAAACAGACAATTCTTAACATTGACACGTGTTAGTGACTAGACACTGGGTTTAGATTGATATTTGGATTTACTAAACGCTTTTAATTTGAAATACAGAATACATAAAATTATTTGTTTGTTCACTAGTCGTTGTTAGGTAACGGCTGCTATCAATGCAACAAAAAATTAACCGCGACTCCGACTTTCGACTGACTCACTTTTCCCGTCGGTCCTCGCTCTCTCTCTCTCTATATATATATATATATACACACACACACACACACACTCGTATATAATAAAAGGTAAAGCCAGCCCTGCAACAGGCCGTTAAGGCCCATAGGGTTGTGAGTCGTCGAGGGTCCCACATTTTCTAAACAATCAGGTCGCAGATGGTGGTGAGGCTGTCAGTCTAACTCGTCGGCCGCCCTTCAACCCCCAGAAAGATTCCTGGTACTAATTTATGTTAGAGGCTGAGTTGACTGCAGGGCCATAGTGCGGCTGGAAGGATTAGGTCAATTGAAAAATTCCAATGACCTCATCAGCAATCTATCCCGCGACCTTCCAGCTTGTAGCATAGTGCCACAACCAACCACGCTACCGCGTGCCCTATATAAGAATTTGATAGGACAGACGAGTTTATACGAATAGCAGATTTTAAAAATGCCTACAATCCTGCGACATTTTAGGTTCTCAATGCGGTGACTAGGAAGATTAACGTTTTCTGGGATGTGATGCCGTGTTGTTTGGTAGATAGGTATGAAAGTTTTGAAGGAGCCTACTTCTTCCATCTCCAGACTGAAGAGTAAGGTACTCTGAAAAATGGGGATGCAGGTTCCTCCGAAACTTCGATAATTATCTAACTTTTCTACCAAAGTACATGGTGTAATTCCATAAGACAGTAATCTTATCCTACAATCCTGTAAGGAGGGCAATGATATAAATAACAACAAAAAAGGATGCTACATTTCAAGCAGGATTATACATTTCGGGATCCAAGAAGCAGTCCGTTAACTATTATGTTAACAAATCCCACAGTACATGTAGGACTAATACACATACAACGGATTGGTATTGAGATGAGGGATAATAGTAACAGTTCGGCAGCTTATAATATAGCATCAGGGACATTCACGCGCATGAAACATAAGCCTAAGCCTAAGTTCTCTTGAAGGCTCATTCTTTGCGCTTCATATACTCGCGACAGCGTGTATGGTAATATTCTTGTCGACCCCCATAACTGAGAGGTTAGCTGACGCCTAAGCTTAAATTGCTAAAAGCTCAAAGTGCATTATTCTGCCTACTGATGTCAATTAATTTTGATTAGTCAGAACATCCATAGGATTTCAACAGTCAAGGTTTACTGAACGCAGAATTTGACTCAACGGCACAAAATAATCGCGAGCATTGAATATTCACATTGCATTTCTTCAGCCACATAGAAGAATATGCAAATGTTTACTACTCTTTATAATTTTCAGAGTGTTTAAACTGATTGTAAACTACGCTGTTGATAGATGGCGAACCGTGCGGGAATTATGTAGTGAAGTAGAACCCTGGAGCTGAATCCTTCTTGAGTTGCCAATATTCGCTCAGCTAGCGAAGACATTTCTGGCCTTTTTATGAAATCTGTAGTTTCATTATCGGGTTCATAACAACATGAAACTCATTAAGTGCCCTGGCGTTTGAATCAACTGACATTTCAAAGTGTATTTGTATGAGTGGAATTAAAGTTTTACACTGAAGAATATAATACGATTAAAATTGTCTTATAACTCTGCAAAATCACAAGCGGGGTTAAACTAATTAAATAAAGAATTTATCTTCATCTGTACTGGGTTCACTAAAATAATAACTTTTCTATATGAAAAATGCATTTGAAAAAAGTGATAGATTTTGATATTAGTTTTTGCATAACTCGCATAAAACTAACGCATTATACTGTTGGAAGGAAATGACTGGTGCACCAGTAACACTTAGATATGTATCGAAAAAGTACCCAATTTGCATCTTGGCTAATGCACGTGTAAGAGACTTAAACTTGGCGGTGGTCAAGCTTACGACCGTTCAAGTGACTAACCTGCCGTTGTAGCACAAGATAAGTAAGATAGGCATGATCTGCTCTGCAAAGTCTGGACTGACAGAGGACTTGTGTATAGTGCAAAAAGGAAGAATATTCAGTAACATCCTACTTGTGCGATACATACATTTGACAAGAGCCCACGCATATACATAAGAGACAAACCCATCTCCTCATAAGAGACGAAGGTACATAAGGCCTATGACCGCAAGGATTCAGTTGAAAAAATCTCTGGTCATGATCCTCAAGGGGCTTGGCACCAAGACGAACTGATTGGCGGTAAACCGCCAGTCGTAAAGTATCTCCGACTTTGACTTTGAATCTTGGCTAGGTTACCGGTAATCCAAACTGATATTTTTCACCGTTTTGACCAATCTTTACAGGTGAACGTCGGTACAGTATCTACAAATCAGCCAGTTTCCAAATCCTTACCTACCTAACCCTCTTGGCCATTACCTCAAGAAGTCAAGCTCTAATTGCATATGGCGCCCTAAATAAATATTTATTGTTTCTCATAGATTCTAGGGTCGTCGGCTTACAAATGATAATTTAAACTTTATGGGGATTTACATTATTAAAACACTACTCATTTCACACCTGTAGTAAACAGGTTCAGACATGACTCAATCATTTTCTTTAGCACATTTATTAAGCCTCATTTTTATTAAATGTTGACTGAAAATCAGATATTTAATGTATATGACAATATAACTCAATTATTTTCTTTGGCGCATTTATTGATTCGTTATTTTTACCAATCGTTTACATAAAATTAAAAAATTAATGTAAATACTAAATTTTCTTCATTGTACAAAGTAATACAATATTGTGACATGATGTCTGAAAGCCGGAATTGTGGTGCGTCCATTGCTAGGCAACGGCTCGGTAGAAACGTTCTCGCTGTAACGGATACGAGCTAAAAATTGTGGAATTGTTGGAAACGATGTTTCCTATGTGGTCCGTGCTGAAGTAATACAGAGAGGAGCGGCAGTCTCTGCTTAGCCAGAAAATATAAGAGGCTTAAACTTGGTGGTGGTCAAGCTTAAGGCCGTTCAAGTGAGTAAGCCGCCGTTGTAGCATAAGATACATAAGATAGGCATCATCTTCTCTGTAAAGCCTGTACTGACAGAGGACTAGTGTACAATGCAAAAGGAAGAATTTTTAATATCATGATATATGTGCGAAACGTACACTTGACGAAAGACCAAGCATATTCGCAAGAGACAAATCCATTTTCTCTTCAGAGACGATGGTACATTATGACAGCAAGGGTTCAATTGAAAAAAAAAAAAAAAAACTCTGGTCGTGGGTCTCAACGGACTTGACGCCAAGACGGACTGATTGGCGGTAAATCGCCAGTCGTACAGGAATTTTGACTTCTACTTTGATTCACTTAGCCGCGAGCCGTTGAACACGAGAGCAGCCATAGAAATCTCCATGTAGCGGACTGGAATACTTGAGTAGTATCCTGTTGTCATTTGTATAGAGCCTGCAGAACAGTGAGAGCGCGGTTAACTATTTGTAGCTGTGCATAATAAACACTCAGTAAAACCAATATTCAATCCAGACCCTGTGTCCAGTCGCTAAGTTGTGACAATAATAATACAAAATCGCGAACTGCATAAAACATATCGGCCCCAAGGGTTGAAATATATATCGCCAACGATACGGCTCGGAGCGACACCGTAACACCAGTTTTAGCAGCTGTTTACTTCATAGCATACGTGAAAGCCATGTGAATCAATTCTGATGGTGTAATATGGCTTTCAGCGTACCAACACCAGAGTTCAGAAAGCATAATTTGTTTACAAATCAGTCAAAAAATACTGGAAATAGTTGCTCTGTTTCTTGACGTGAAGTCTAGTTCTTACAAAGAAAAAAAAAAAAGTACGTAAGTTTGTAGAGTGGTACGTCTTCAAATTTAAGACGCTATGAAAGTGCTTGGGATGGTAGCAGGCAAAGATTAGTTTGTGGAAACTTCCGACGTGCTTACGGCGGTACGGAAGCGTCGTACGATATCACAGTACTTCACATTATGAATTCAGTATTTTCTTCACTTATTATCAGTTTGTAGACATGCAACGAGATGAAATAGCTTGAATTGAAAATAAGAAATTTCGTTTCCTTTGCCATTATCGTTCACGCAGTGCAGCGATAAGAGGAACGTACAAGCACCATTACTTCAGCATGACCTTTTGATGTTGCACTGTTCATGACAGTTTTTGGAAATGTGAATGTAGCATTCAAACCTGCATTAAACAATACTTTGATGCAACGGTTATCCTTCGTTCGGTGGTGTCACGTATGATGTGAATCAGCCTCCTTCCGATTAACGTTTTCTTGGGGTTAGTGTACAATATACATACGTGGGCAAATGCAAAGTGTTAATTAATTTCATAATGTAATATATTTTATCATTTGCATTGAAAAAATAATACCGCACACTCGAAGTTAATTAAAACGGTAACAAGATATAACTTAGTTTTAGAATATGTGTTGGACTATATTAACCTAGTAATATACCCATTGCCCTAACATGCTGACGAAACATTGCAATGAAATAACAAATATCACAAGTAACCAATTTATAGTTTTTTGAAATTAATGATATCTAATAATGCGTACCAATCTTCAGCCAAACAACATGCCACTAAGCTGCTATGTCACTTCCTAAAATTTCATACTCACGAATATCCTTTCACCACACTCAATACGCTCAATACAGTGTACGTACCACCTCAGCGACGAACACGACGACCAGCCGACGACGGAAGGTCTTACAATCTTAGAACGCGTGCGCTCGTTGGATCAATTTCTGGTTCCGCCTACTTCTATGATGTAATACAAATGATGACGCAAAGTACAATTAAAATCAAACGACATGTAAAGAATTGGTTGAAAACATGCATTAAAAAGTACTATGATATGTGTGATTACTACAATAATGCAAGTAATATTCGAAGTTGATTTGCATTCGACAATATGTTGGATACTCGAGGGGACTAATATAGTAAATTATTAGACTGTTGGTAGCATGCTGACTTATCGATTTGGTGACGTATGTAATGGAGGTGGAGACAAGAAGTGGTCAAAGTTGACCTTTTTCTGAAAGTGAATGTGTCAATTTGATAGTGGGAATTGGCGTTAGTGATGTTACTAATGTCGTATCTATAGAAACTTAAAAGACTGATTTTTTTCAGGTACATCGAAAATTTTAACCTTACTACAAAGTCACGTTGCCTAATCAAAATTCTGCAGCGTACGCCCAATTTTGTGTCTGATTTCTTGGCATTTGTGTATACTGTTTCAGAAAGAAAATAATGTTCGGAAGTACTGCTTTAGAATATAACTTGCAGCTTGTATCTGCTGCATGGACAGTACTACTCATTTGTCAGGCTGTAGGTATTTCCGTCCTACATTAAAATTTGTTGGGTTTTCGTGAGAGAATGAAGACAATGTTATATTTCTTTCCTCATTTTTAATTTCATTTATGACGGTGCCAGTTGCAGAAGTTATATAAGGTTGAATTGGAAATGAGAGTCATTATGAGTATTGGGTGGCAAAGCACGGAGAAGTAGTAATTGTGATCTGTAGTAACAATATCAGCCTTTACCAGGAGAGACTGAAAATTAGTAAAGAGAAACCTCAATTATAATAGTTGATACTCATTTAGGCGACTTTACAAATGTGAACCATATGCTCTGCATATTTAATTATGTATTTTAATCGAAATCAGTGATTCATATTTGTTGTCACAAATCCCCCTCAATTTGTAATTTATTTCACTTTTGTTTTATAGAATTTAAAACACATGTTTCATGGTGTATGATATATTTACATATGAAGACCAATATTTAGTAAGCATTATGCATATATATCACTTCAGTACCTCTTTGAAGTTTTATATTTAAAAGTTTATTATATAATTTTTATTGGCTTCAGTTACATTTTTTACACTTGTAAAGTTTACAAACCCAACAACAGCAATCAGGTTGATGTAGTGCATGATATCATTGCAAATGTGGGAAAGAATAGCCTGACTCCTGTTATTAATTTAAAGAATTACCTGATTAATGAGTAGCCAGAATAGCTTGGTCAGCATATTAAGAGGCTACAGGCCTGACTGGGGTTTGATTCCCAGTAGGAGCAAGAGATTTTTCTGTACTCCACCACATCCAGACTGGCTCTGGAGCCCACGCAGCCCATATACAGTGGGTACTTGGGGCTGAATCAAATTTATTTGCATTCCATATATCATCCAAAGACCAGCACCAGGGATATAGAGCGTTCATTCATCTGTGATCTGTCAAGATGACAGGTTCACAGTCTCTTCCAGAGCAGTTCCTCCACTTGATGCGATCTAGAGCTTTCTCCTTCAATTCTAGAGCATATCATAATACAAATACAATACTTGTTTCCAATACACATATAAATGTAAATATAAAGCTGTAACATCTATTTACATATTTACAGATATCCAATAATACAGAATTACACTGAGTTATTGTATGAATGAACTATCCCATTATTCTTTCTCCCAGACTTCATGGCCCTTTTAGTTTAGCCTTAGTGTCTGTCTATTCCATTATTACTTGCATGTATTTATAGCTTAGAATTTTTGGCTGAGGTAAATTCTAGAATGATACAGGAGATACCATTTTACTACTGGCTTGAACAGTTTTATATTATGATTCAAACATTTCACTATAGGAGAAGATGATTGAGTAAATTAATTACTGCACATTACACTTCTTTCTGCTGTTTACTGAGATTAGTGAAAGTTACATGGAGGAGGTTATATCTGTATCTTGTGCTTGTATTGTGTATATCAGAATTTGTTTGAAATTTTGCTCGGGGAGTGTAATAGTACTAATATTAAAAAAATGCAGTGTTTAGCCATAACAGTAGTGTAACACATGCCAGTAGAGGAAGTTTAACTGTATATGTCAGCTTTAAAAAAAGGGGGGGGGGATTTGTCACATTTCTCTTTAGTGTGTCATCAAATTAAAGTTCAGGGTTTTATAGTGACTTGATGTATGAGACGAGTGATTTGTTACTAAACTACAAGATATTCAAAGAAGAGGAAATTTGGGGTTTTCAGTAAAGGGTTTACTGGAAATTTATAAGTATCACAAATATCAGTTATTTCTTTGGCTCCTTCATCGGCATTACTCTTCTACATTTACGGTTATGTTCACATGCCTCAGCTCATACAGATGTCCTTATCTCTGTCATTCTTGTAACATATCAAACGAACCATCATCATCATCAGTAATCTGTCAAGACGACAGGTCCACAGTCTCTTTCAAAACAATTCTTCCACTTAATGCGATCTAGAGCTTTCTCCTTCAAATGACAGTATCCTCTTCTGTCCCCAAGGTCATCCAGCATCTTCTTACGTCTTCTTGTCACTTCTATCCGCCCATCTATCTTCCCTTCGATAGCTTCTTTTAGAAGGCAGTTTCTGCGTAAAACATGACCAATCCAATTAGCCTTCCGTTTTCTTATTTCATGTAGGATATTCCTCTGCTCACTGACTCTAATTAACACTTCTTCATTTCTCACATAATCGGTCCAACTGATCTTCTCCATTCTTCTCCAACACCACATTTCGAAACTTTCCAGATGTTTCTGATCTACTGCCCTAAGTGTCCATGTTTCAGCCCCATACAGAGCTATGCTCCAAATGTAGCATTTCACTAGTTTCTTCCTCAAA